CAGCAAAAACAAATGGTATTTTTACACGAAACGTATGAGAATATGTATACTCAAATACGAATGATTCTGCTGGCAGCAAAGAGTGCTTGCAGCTTTACTCTTAACAGGGGGCGTTCTTGAAAAGAGAACGACATGAGTACGCGTTTCTCATCGCGATCCTCAAGTGTGCAATTTGCGAATTACGTAAATATGAAATTCAATGTCCACACCCACGCATATACGGCGTGTGGTAATCCCGGCGAATCCGCGCGCACAGCTGGATCTCATCGTGATTCTTTTCATTACGGCTCGTTTAACGAACTGGACAGCGAATTATTATTACCGTACGAGGTGACATATGCGACAAATAGCACACGCGAATCGTCGATTCACGGCGATTTTTGCGTAACAACCAATGCAGCGAGGCAGTTATTCGGCCTGTCATACTCTGCGACGTATGACAGGCGGAATCTAAAACTAATAGCCCGAATGTCGATAGCAAGTCGATATCAAATCAAGACGCGTGGTTACAGTTACAGCAGCTCAAGACATCGCAAATTGCATCGAGCCCGAAGTTTAATTCCAACGTCAGTCGCCTTGTAGGTAGCAGATATCTGGAGGAACGTGTGTAATCACGGGTGTGTGTGTATTATGTATATTTGTGTGCTCGCGCGCGCATACATATGTGTATCATGAAACTCTGTTCTTGTAAAAAGGGAAAATTAGATTCGCGCGCTGCGAGTCGGAATTACTGAGTGTCTTAATAAGCTACTTAAATTGCAACGAGAAATGTGTGAAACTTTGTAAAATTGGTAGACGTAAGAGAAGTCTAGATGCTTGTGCATTTATTATAATATCGAGTGACTTCGCGAGCGCGCTAACGAAATCTCGTCGAATCCCTCCTGATTGTGAGAAAAGAAACAGAGTTTCTCGAGAGCGAGATTTCGAGCCGACACGGGGACGTTAGCACGCGCTTTGTTTTACATAAATTTATCATTAACTTGACTTACGACCGGCGCTACGTGTGTTGCAAATTAAAATAAAGCCACGATCAATTTGTATTATCTGCCAATTGCTCGGCACGCAACGAATCCGTAAAAGCCCGCCATGATCCACTTAAGCGCGCGAGCTGCCAGTTTCAGCCGGAAAAACTGTCAGCGAAATAACAGCACGAAATAGCCGCGAAAAGGGCCGCGCGCCAGAAAATAATTATGCATTCTCCCCGTCTGCTGCGTCATGTTATCCCTTTTACATGCTAATTATAATAAATTTCGTACAAATACGTCGGCATGTTTGTGATCAAGTAAGCCGACATGCGAGCGCTTTCAATTGTTCGGTCGATTATTTCGTGCATAAACCAACCGCCTCTGTTATCATCCCTTGAAATTGATTTCACCTCCGCAGTTAACGGCACACGTTAGTTACGTGTCACATTAAACAACTGCAATGAATATATTAACATAAAAGTATCTACTCCCGGACACGTATCTAGCCCTGGATATTTTTATTATTTTAGCATTTAAATACGAATATTTAAGCTTTTAATATTAATTTAATAAAAAGATGTATGTATATATTCAATATTTATATATATATATATATTTTTTGTTAAAAGTTTAAATATTCATACTTAAAGACCAAAATGATAAGAATGACTAGGATTTTATCCGTATATCCGCGTACTTTAACCTTAACGCATAAATGTTTTATAATATATATCCGCGTACTTTAACCTTAACGCATAAATGTTTTATAATATCTTAATGGAATTGTGTGCCGAAGGTCTACTCGCGACAACAGTTTCGCGAATGTCGTTTTATGGATTTGTCTCCTTCCGCGCACGCGGCTTTTGTTATTCTACCAGACGCATCATGAGAATCGACACTATCGAATCTCGATAAGACATTCTTGGCAGTACGCTTCCACGGGAAATAGACACACGAGGTGGAAAGGGTTTCCACTCGATCGCGTTTTCAACCCCGTGAAGCGAAGTTCTAGTCTCGCGGAGAAACGACTATGGCTGATGCGCGACATTTTACGGTGAAATCATTAATTAAAACGCTCTCGGGAGTGGGCGCGAATGGACTTCCACCGCCGTGGAACGCAAGTATCTTCTGCGACATAATAATGGGAACCCTCACGCGGACATTCGGTTGATGCGGTACCATCACGAAGAAGGGCCGAGAAAATAAAAAAAAATAGAAACAAGTCGACAGCCGTTTCCGTAACAGATACTGCAGTACAAGAGTAATAAAGACAACGATATTTTTCACCAGCCTGAGCATGCCGCACGTGAATTACACCGACAAAAATACCGCCGACAAGCCACTTCCGTTGTAATCGATAACTGTCGAAAAAAAAAAAGAAAACTAATAGATTCCATCGTGGCTCGATGAAATGGGAATTACGCGTGCGAAGCTTGCAAACAATTTAAAACAACCAGCTAACGGCTATCGGCGACACCGGGAAACCATTAAGGTGTTCACAGATGCAAATTCAAGTGTAACATTCGACGAGTAGGAAAGTACCAATAAAGCGAAGGGTCTGTTTAAATTATCAAAAATCTCGTTAAATGTCACTTCGGAAACAGTTCGTGTAGAGAAAAGGATTAAAGAAAGAAAGAAAGAAAGAATTTTCGACAAATGCTACATGGACTATCTCCATGTGTCGAATTTGTCACGAAAAAACACGCTTCTTTTCTCTCTAATGATATAAAAATACTAATGTCCGGATATTTACTTAATCCTGAATATACTTATTGTTTTGGTCTTTAACACGCGTTGACTACAACATCATATATGTGTGACACAACGAATTCTCGCCAGCGTCACACATGTGCGAAAAGCACATTTTTTCTATGTTCACATTACCAAACTAAGTTTGTTTTACGTAATTATCTAAGAAAAAATATAAAGGAACCATCAAATAAACCGTGGTACCAAACGTGCTAAATATGGAAGTACTCAAAAAATTTTAACACAAAAAGATATATGTTGAGAAAATTGTGAAATTTTTTCGTATTTAAAGATCAAAATAATACGAGTGTCCAGGATTAGGTACATATCCGATAATTGATACTTTTACGTTAATTTCTCGGAGCGATTCAAACGATCTCAACTGCATTCAGAAACACAGCAGCTTTCGTCTTGACGCGACTATAATTACGTCAATAATGATTCTCCGTTACCGTGAATGCTCACTCGCAGAGAAACAGAGGAATCCGCTTACTCATATCTCGTGAAAACGGCTCAGGGATTAAGTGTCATTAGCTTTGCGTCGCGTTAATTCGATTTACGCCGGGATGAACGTGAAATTCTTCTTAAATCCGGAGGAATCCCTCAGTTACCTTGCACGTCGACCTCGAGCTGAAGCAGCGACCGTGCCAACTCGCTTCGATTGAGATCACCTCGGGTAACCCCACGGCATCTTGAAACATACCCTCCGTTGGAATTTCGCGAACAATCCTTTCACCGCAATAAACAGTCGGATACATGCAACGGAAATAGCAACGCGGAAATTACCGGGAGCTTATCCACCGAGTTTATCAGTCGATGTTGAGGCGTTAAACCGTCGTTGAAATTAAGCCTCGATATATCTTATCAGAGATGTTAATTGAATTCAAGAAAAATATAAAAAAACAAATTTATTTATGAAAATAAAACGAATTTCTATCTTCCTCTTTCTTTTTTTCTTTCTTTGTTATTTGAGAGAGACTCCTGAAGAAGAATAAAAGTATCATAATGTAAAATCAATATTTGCAAAAAGTTGAAACCGCTCAGGGAGGGAGAAACTCAAGAAAACTTAAGTTTAGTGGATGGAATAGTATACCGTGGATTGTTCAAAGAACGAAAAAGGATTATGAAATAAAAATTATACGCCAGCGGGCAAAGCGACAGGCGGGAAATTCCCGCGATTCGATCTCCCCGCGAATTCAAAGCGATGTCGGATCTAAGGGATCGTTTAATATTACAGACACCCGACAGGGGATAAAGTTTAGAAACTTCGGTCGGAGAACTACAAACAGCAGTGCGATCAAACTACCACTCCACAACCACGGACCTGGCGCGTATCGTCCGATATCAATCGGCGCTATGGTGTCCTGTTTGGTACAGTTCGAATCAATCTGTGAATTTGCTTGCCTCTCGAATGGAATAATAGCGACGTGTGGCTGTTGCAACTTGCAAACAACATTAGATTGACGTTGCTCCGGTCGCGCGCGACTTATCGTCCGAGCCGCTAATGGAACATGATTTGAGTATCGTTAGGGGAAAGGCGTCACCCGCGATCGATACTTTAAGTCGAATATAATTCGCGTCGTGTTCCTCCTCGCGACGGCTGTTTTGCGGAAAAATACCAACAGAAATTGCCACCGCGATTCTTTATGACTTAGCGCGAGTACGATTTAATATCTTAAGTGCAGCTGCAGCAGAGACGCCAATAGGACTTACGATCGAGCAAAAAGACGCGCGGCAAGAAACGGTTATTCCAGACAATATCAAGCGGTGCCGCGTGCAATACGGTAAACGTGACAAGAGTCGAGGAGAGAAAACTGACATGAAACACACGACAGTTTCCGATTGTAATGAGCCACGAGAAACGCGTCGATGCTCTCTCGCCGCCGCGAATCAACGTATTGTAACGTATATTAAATAATTCGTTGTTACGGCTTATCATTACTTGTCCATGCACGACTGCTGGACGCAACGGGGATGGCAGCGGGACAACCGTGACAGGTGGCGAAGCTACAGCGACACAATCGGATGCGAATTCGTTTCTTCCTTTTGCAACACTTAGAGGCAGGAAATACATGCCCCGAGTGATGCAATAAAAGCGTCGCACTCGTGAAAGCTAATAAAACGTCCCCCCGCCCCGTCTCATCCTACGCTGTGTGTGTGTGTGTGTGTGTGTGTGTGTGTGTGTGTATGTGTGTGTGTGTGTGTGTGTCGATGCGCTACACTATTCCCTGACGGTACTCGAGGTAAAAAAGGATGTAGCTTCAATTGCAGCAATTAGATACGTACTCGGCAGTGGCAGTAAATCCGCGAGTGTGTCGATATGGCTTTTGAGCGAGCACGGCGACGCACCGGAAGCCGGGCGGACGAAAAACGCTTCCTGCGTGACTCTCGGGTGCGACGTGTCCTGTGTGAAGGGGCTCGTGTGTACCGCACGCGATCCGATAGATCACTCGGTCCCGCAACACCAAGAGATGAATCACGATGAGTCCGGCAAAACTTCACCCGATCCACCCTGCGCCTTCCGCGCCCGCTGACATCGGAAGACGCGCGCCGCCTTCTTGCCGTTTCTTTAGTGTAATTCCTCTAGAGGAAATGCATTTACTCGTCGTCACTCTCTCAAGCCCGCGCCTCGCCTTCGCTCTTTGTTCAAGACAAAGGACTCTTTTCACGTCGGGCTAATAAAATGCGAACGGTGCTCCCTTCGATATAAAATATGCAACGAAAAGAAAGGAGCAATGAAAGTACTCTCTCCCACGGCGGGCGTTTAATATATACTTCTTTCGATCTCTTGCGCGCAAGTATTACATCTCGAGAGAGAGAGAGTGGTTGCTTTCTTAAGACTCCTCGCCATGAATCTTTGTAAGATCGCTCCGAGGACTTACGCGAGATATTGGGGAATTTAATTAGAAAATTTTAAAAGTTACACGCGCGTCTCGATCCCAGGATATACTTGTGCAAAATCTCATTTAATTCGCGAATCTTGATACATTCGTTTGTCACGAATCGGCTCTCCCACGAACTATCATTTACGAACTTCTTGAGATAAGAAGAAGAAAAAAGAAAGGAAGCAAAAGCATCGCGATGTACTGTTCAATTAAGGTGATTACTACCTCAACACCTCTTTCCGATCCCGCGCGGATCAAGCGCGAAACACTCTCGTGCTCGTGATACAAATATTTCTCTTTCTTTTTGTTATTACATACGCGACGGCACGTATTCTTGCGATCGCGACTATCGAGCTCGATCCCGGCGATTCGTACGTATCGTAGGAAAATAAACGACGGCGTCTCTCCCGATAGGATAGTCGACGGAGCGCGTCGTAGCGTCGCGATGCTGCGAACGCCACCGAGAAAGCCGAGGGAGAGACGGAAGGGAGAGAGGAGCGTCGCGACGACGCGGAGGCTGACGACGCACTGACTGCCCGCCGCCTGGGTGCTCCCGAGAGTAGTCGCGCTGTGTGTGAGAGAGAGAGTACGAGAGAGAGAGAAAGAGAATAAGGGAGAGGGTGGAGGGATACAGAGCGAACAAGAGAGAGAGAGAGAGACAGAGGGGGCGTGAGTGAGCGAGCGAGGCAGGGAGGATGGTAGGAGGAGAGAGATAGACAGAGAGAGAGGATGCAGCCAGTCTCCCGATCTTCTAGCTGCACCGACACACTCTCATCGTGCCAAAACCCATCCACCCACGCGCACCCTCGCTCGCGGACACCCCCTACGTATCCTCGTTCTCGGTTGATCGAGAATCGCGCGTCGAAGATCGCGCGGGCACACTTGCCATCGTCGGCGGCGATTGTGATGGAGCGGATAACAAAGCTCGGGAGTCGAGGGATCAGCTGTATTCTTTTTACCGAGTATGCCCTCGTTGGAAATTCCATTGTCTAAGGACGGAAGGCACGTATAAGATAGAGGAATAAACTATGTAACGCGTTCTGGACGTCTGTCTTATAACAGCGCGGGAGTAACGAGCCCGCCTAACGAGGGCGGTATATGCGGCGCCCTTTGTGCCGCACTTTATTACATATCTTAATGAGCTGGGGCGTTTTTGCGATTGGAGTAATATAATTTCGCGGGCGCTTAAAAAGCAATATAATTTTTCAGAGGCGCAAGCATGACTTCCTTTAACCCCTCTTTTTTATTCGTTTCGTTTATTCTTTCTCTCCTCCTTTTGTGTGTTCTCTTTTTTCCATTTCTCTCTATTTTAAAAATACCACAACTTCGAACTCGAGAGGGCGTCGTTTCATATTTTAGTACGTGCCTCGCACTCCCGCGAAATTTTACATCAGTCAAGTGATTTAACACTAGCAAATGAAACTTAAATGTGTAATTAGATGGTACGAAATAATGGAACACGGAGTTATATACGCATCGAATAAAGATACACGCCACGAATAAGAACAGAGTATCTTTTTAGTTTTAGAGTTCGATTTTTCGTTATTAACGAGCGGCATTGAAGCAAATTTTATTATGTTTCGCAGTGGACTACAAACCACACACATATACACACTCTCTCTCTCTTTGTTATGAATAATTACGCGAAAGCTCGTACATATTTAAACACGCACAATATAAGGATTTACATTCCGCGGGTATGTTTCAATTCGTATTTCCCGAAAAGTAACGATGAGCATAACGAGATTTGACTTGCCCGACGGTAAAAGCTGTTCGCGCGATATTACTCGAGTGTAAGTTCGAAACTGTACTTTTAATCACAATAATAATTAAGATAAAGACTTGCTCCAGATTGCAGCCACTTTCGAGCACACGCCGCACGATCGATTAATTAATTCACGCTATCGCTATTTTCCTTTTGATATTCGCAATCCGCGTCTCCTCGAGTATCTCGGGAAGTTTCCAGCGCGCGTGCTCTCTCATTAAAGAGTACACGCGACTTTGAGCAGTAACTTGCTAACGAATCGTAAATCGTGTAGCAAATGATATTCCACATCAATTTCGCGACCAATCGTATCGCTCGCCGTCACGACGACACTCGTTAATTATCAAGTCTCAGTGTCTGAGATCCTTAATAAACGCGGTGATATATCTCCCACTGTTTTGCATGCGACAACACAAGCGGTTTTAAACTTCGTCCTGAGATATCGCACTTCGTGCACTATTTCGCGAAACTTACCTTGAGGGAAAACGCAGTCAAACTATGATTGCAACGAAGCAAGATTCGCAGAATATGATGAGTACGCGAAGAAAACAAATATAGAACAATGTATTATAAATTAAAGTCCTCATGTACTTGTTTTCCGGGTTTAGACCACGTCTTCCTTGTATTTGGACGATTTGTGAATGTTTCAGTTCATTTCTTCAGATTTCAAATCGCCCTGCTCCCTGAACAAGTGAATTGAAATGTTCACGGAACGTCGGAATCAAATACATGGGAGACGCCGTCCAAACACGGAAAACAAGCAAAGCATTGGCTAATACTATGCAAAAGCCTAAAATACCAAAGTCCCCATGTGTGTACTCAATGAATCACCCTCGTCTTGGTAATACGCTTCAGCATGAAAAGGACCCCGCACAAAACCTATGGAAAATGATTTTTGGTCAAATTGGCTGAAATTTCACTATGTTATAGTTTTCGCCATGCTGATAAAAAGTTATCATTGCACCAAGTCCCAAAAGTCAATATTTTCCAAGATATAAAGCGTGAAAGTAGTGAAATATGGTCGTCCGTAGTAGTAAGTTATAAGTATAAGT